ACAGGTAGCAACCCACATTGCTCCATTATTCTTCTAACTCAAGTCTAAGTCAGAAGAAGCTAAGCGCAGCGCACAGGCTCTGTAGCACCCGCGAATATCCTAAAAGACTTTGAGTAGAATTTTAACTCTAAAATTTAGCCAGAACAGTGCCGTTAGGCTACTCTTTTTGATTTCCAACTGCCCAAGGGATTTTTTATGTGCACAACAATGCACGCGGGCGTCCGATCTCACCACTCAAAGACCAAGAAGAATTACTAGAAGTCCAAGTCCACGTGAAAAATTCCTAGCCCTTACGGGGATTGAACCCGGAACCTCTAGCACTCGAGGCGGACACCATGCCTCGGGACCACGCAAATCACGACTTTGATCGGTTTTCCGCTGCGAGTTTGATAATGCAGGTATGTCAACGCTTGACTGTTGCCTTTTACAGTCTATGCCCACCTCATTACAGTCATGACACCCTCATAGGAGTTACCATATTGGGCTCTCATTGTTCAGTGAATATCGATGGGTACACAACCTTTGGCTATCAAGAATTAGGGAACAATTCTTTTCTCCAACCAAATGTCCTAGTATGTCGCCATTTTGGAGACTGTTGTAAGGCTGCGACAATTTCCACACACGTGACCACTCATGTCTTGAAAATCACTTCAACAATCTTTTCACAGCGTTATATGTCTTCGGATGCTGTTAACAAAGGTATGTCCTTGGACGCATTACTTTCAAACCGCCCTTATACATACATACATACATATATACAAACATACATACACAAACACGTGTATATATATATATATATATATATATATATATATATATATATATATATATATATATATATATATATATATATATACACATATATACACACACACACATATTTACCTAATTTTTTTACATATACATAACACACATAGAGATACATACTTAAGACTCCATACAAACAAACATACACACATAATACATACATAACACACACACACACACATGCGAACATTCATACATTTACTATATACACACATACACACACTCAGTCATATATATATATATATATATATATATATATATATATATATATATATATATATATATATATATATATATATATATATATATATATATATATATATATAAGCGGTGCCTAGCTTGTAATGTTAACTCATTAAGTCATTTATTACTTTAATCCGTTTGGCACATCATGGGCCCTCGACTTGCCTAATCTTGTCTTTGTTTGCTTTCTCCAAGAGCTCTTCTGTAGGTAGGTATGTAGGTAGGTATGTAGGTAGGTATGTAGGTAGGTAGGTAGGAATGTATGTAGGTAGGTAGGTATGAATGTAGGTAGGTAAGTAGGAATGTAGGTAGTTAGGTAGGTATGTATGTAGGTAGGTAGGTATGTATGTAGGTATGTATGTAGGTAGGTAGGTAGGTAGGTAGGTAGGTAGGTAGGTAGGTATGTAGGTATGTAGGTAGGTATGTAATTAGGTAGGTGCTTTGCTAGAAAAAGAATCTTCACGTTCAACCAGCATCCCTTGAAGGAGGAGCTTCAGATTCTTATTGTCACTAGGTTATGTGCGCCATACGAAACTACTATTAGCATTGCACGCCACCAAGTGACATGAAAAGGACTCCTGCAGTGTTGATGCGATCAAAGGAGACAGACTCAGATAAAGTTAACATCACGCCAACTGCCTTTACTTCCCAAGCCTTTACTTGATACGCATTTTATGCTTGGTCGACATGAAAGCCAAGGTCATTTATATATTTTGATCTCGCTGTCATGAGGTTGTTCTCTGGCTGCATTGACTAAATAGTATTGGTTGTGCCTCGTCTTTGTGACATCCGAGTGTTTCTTTTTATCCACCATCTGTATTTCTTTCACGAACTACTTTTTTGTCTATACAAATTCTTTATACTCTTTAGGAAGCAGAAATTTGTTTTTACAATCTGTAAACATTACTTGACGTTTGTATTGTTTATTTAATAGGTATAAACAGACTGCCAAAAAAGAATGCATACATCAGAGAAAGAAAACTCTTCATAAACATTGCATTACAATATTTACACAGACATCCAGGCATGAATATAATACAGTTGGCTTCTAAAATTGCACCAAGTGAGTGCTCAGATGGGTTGCTGTTAGCTACCAGACAGTTATTATTACCAGCTGCTGCTTGAGCAACGTTGGCCAAAGTGCCCAATGGCATTCCTGGCCATACCATTTCAATTTCTTTCCAGCTAGCCAAAAGTGTAGATAACTAGTCTGGCGTGTTTGTGTCTGTATGTTGTGTCATTGAATGTTGTCTCTGAGTGATTTTTGTATCGGTGAGTGTTGTGTCTGTGTGTGTTTTGTGTACTGTGTCTCTGTTCGTGAATTGTGCCTGCAGGAAGGTTGTGTCTGTGAGTGTTGTGTGTGTATCTGAGTCTTGTGTATGTGTGGGTTTTGTATCTGTGCGTATATTTTGTATGTAAATGTTGTAAATACTGTGTCTCTGTTTGTGTGTTGTGTCCGCGGGAGTGTTGTGTCTGCGTGTGTATGTGCTTGTGTGTGTGTGTGTATGTGTTTGTGTGCGCGCGTGCGTTATGCCTGTTTATTGTTGTGTCTGTGTGTATGAGGTGTGTCTGTTTGAGAGTTGTGTCTGTGAGTGTTTTGTCTGTAAGTGTTGTGTCTGTGTGAGTGTGTGTGTACTGGTATAAGTATAGGTTTTGTGTCTGCGTGTAAGTAATATGTCTCTAAGTTTGTATATATCTGTGTATATTGTGTCTGCGGCTGTTTTCTTTGTGTTGTGTCTGTATGGTTTTTGTGTTTACACGTTGCGACTATGTGTATGTATTATGTCTTTGAGTATGTATGCCTGTGTATTTTGTGGCGGTGTGTGTTGCGTACGTGTATTGTTGTGTCTGTGTGTATTTTGTTTGTGAATGTTTGGTTTATGTGTTTGTGTTGTGTATGCCTGTATGTATTGTGTCTGTGTCTACCTGTTGTGTCTATGTATATGTGTTGCGTCTTTGAGTGCGTATGCCTGTTTACATTGTGTCTTTGGTCTTGTGTATGTTTTGTGTGTTTGTATGTGTGTGTGTGTGTGTGTGTAGTGTATTTGTGCGTTTTGTGTCTGTTAAAAGTTGTGTCTGCGTGTGGGCCTACGTGTGTGTTACTGTGTTTGTGTATGTGTGTGAGCATGTGTCTGTATGTATGGTTTGCTTGTGTATCTGTCCCGTGGTGTCTGCTTTGCGTCTGTTTTTGGATGTCTATATGAAGTTATGCATTAGCTATCTATGTTTCTATGTTTCAACATTTTTACTTCACATATATACTATGATTTTAAACATGTGGACATAAAACGCTTTATACGTATAACATAATTTCTGTGTGAAAGATGGGTGTCTGAAAGGGTCGAATGTAAGACAGGCCTACGTGCCCAATTTGTAAACCGTTGGAATTAAAATTCGTTCGTTCGTTCTACAATTTGGTTACAACTCGCTACTAGAATTCAAAAGAGTAAGGACTTTTTCTGAAAGAACAGAACACTGTTATGTCAAAGGACATCTGTTAAATTGTGCTAAACTTTTTAGCAATAGTGTAATTCCGTTTCGGGTCATAGTTGACTATTACGACTCCCGGGTCGATCTAATCTAAGATAATTGATATATATGCAATCATTCCGTTGTGCCACCTCAGCGACCGGGTGGCCGGTCTGTACCGTAGTTGGATCTTTGTGGGTTCCGGGACCATATTATAGGCAAAACAAGAATAGACCCACTGCCTATCCAAAAGCATGTCGTAAGAGTCGACTAATTGGGAGCTTCCTTCGAAGTCGGAGTGTATCTGCCTGAGAGGCAAGGAACCAACAGTCTGCATACAAATGAGTCAGATCTGTAAAACGAATGCACACGCAACACTCAGGTTCGGAACAGGATTGCAGTCCAGAAGAGGATGAACAATCAGAACTTTCCCCCAGAGTTTACAGCTGGTGAACGCGAAGAAGAAGAAGAAGAAGAAGAATGCTGCTTTCAGGGCTCTTTTCAGCGGATGCTGAGTGAACGTGACGATTTTTGTTGTTGTTGCAGAAAAACAACACAGCGGTACATGTTTATGTGCCGTTTATACAACACCCAGAGCTAGCATTCGATTCGTTAATTCTGTTTTGACCTATGCGGTCCTGTCAAAATTCTGAATAGTATCTAGTGAGGCACCTCTGATAGTTCTCATCAATATAGTCGTGTAGTCACTTGGACATGCCGGCTTGGTCTCTTCCGTTGTTTCGCATGTCAAAACATTTTGTGTGGCCTCCGACCCCCTCACTCACCAACACGCTTCTTAGTCTCCAATTTGCCTAAGTGTTCGTTTGTAATAATAATTTTCTCACAACTTGCTGTTAGCGTTTGAATAGACACTCCTCTGACTTCTTTATCATTCTTGAATTCTCTTTTCCATTTAATGTTCAATAATTTCGTCAGGCGTTTTTTTTAAATGCATTCAACTATAGCTTAGTAGTTTTCCAACATTAGCTGGTACAAGTTATAATTCTAACATAGTTGAAAATATGTATTTTATTTCTAAAACTGTGAAGTTTTTTTTTTTTAAATATATATCATAGGCTTCTGAATTTTAACGTAACTCATTGAAATCAGTCTAGAAATGGAAAACCCGTGTAAAAACAAATGAAATAATAGCATGTTTATATTTGATTAACATTATAATACAAATATATTCGTACATAGCTGAGGGCACTGCCTGTTTAATCCTGCGTACAGGGGTATAGTTTGCGGGTGAGAAGGACGCCTTCATTACATTGGGTTTTATCCTGAATGGCTTTGTCACTATTCCTCCAATGTCTGCTCGCCTGCAGAAAAAGCGGTACTAAGCTTGCAGTAATATTCACCACAGATCTATAAAAACATTGCACTCGTGTGAAAAAAAAAAAAAAAAAACGCAGTTCAAAACACAAACCTATAACCTTGAAATCTCAGGGCAGATGGCTTGACGACTTCACGATGCTAAC